GAGCGCCTCCTCCCCGAGCACCCCCCGCCCCCCACCCCGCTCCGTTTCCGATTCTCCCCACCTCTCCTCCTTCTTCTTCCAGCCCGATTTATCTCACACCCGGGCGAGCTCGCTGCCAACCAAGAGTTTATGCAGACAACCGCAAAAGAGCTGGTGCCAGCCTCAAATGGGCTTCTCCCCTGGCACCCTGACATTCAATTACAAGCAAGAGGCATGCAGAGCGGTGCTAAAAAAAATAAAATAAAATAAAGGGGGGGGGGGGGAGCAACTTTTCAACCCCCCTCCCCTCATTTTTTCCACCTGACAAGGTGGGATTAGGCACCCTTGAAACACAGGAAGGTTTCTACCAACTCCATTTGTCAAGTTTCATTGGGATTCCCAGCCCATCAGGGAGATGCCAGCCCGAGCTGCGCTGGATCCCAACCGAAATCCCTCCAAATTCAACCCAGGGGCGCGGGAGCAAGCAGCACCGTTGCCATTTCCAACCGGAGCCCGTGGTTTTCCCCGGCTTTCCAAGGGACTGGAGCAGCAAAGGCCTGCGCTGCATTGCAATCCCTCCTAAAGTTTCCTGCCAGACTTTTCGAATCCTACTTTGCGCAGAGGGCGTCTGAGATAAATTAGATGTTAATTCTTCCAGGGGTATCAGAAGGTAGAGAAGCAGGCAAGCAGCCCAAAAGCGAAACGCCATCGTGGCGTGACAAAGGCAGGAGAGGTTTCCCCTGAGAAAGGGGCTGTTTTCCCTTTTTTTTTTTTTTTAAAAAAAACCCGCGGTCTGCATTGCAAAAAGTCCACTCACCGGTTGGTTTGAGAAAATCCATTGGATATCTGGAGTAGGGTGGAGGGGGAGACTCTGGAATTAGAAAAGTACAGAGAAAATAAAGGAAGAGCCATGAGAAAGAAAAAAAAAAAAAAAAAAAAAAAAAAAAGAAAAAAGATAGGAACTTATGATAACAGTGGCATTCTTTTAGCAAAACTGTTTGTCTTAGCTCTGGGGGTTGGAGGCAGGGCAGCGAGGCGGTGATTGCCTTGATAGTTAGCTGTCAGATAAACAAAAGGGGCCGTCTGGCGCCAGTCTCCCTGCTATCTGCCGCTTAAACAAAAGGGGCCGCCTGGCGCCAGTCTCCCTGCTATCTGCCGCTCGGGCTGTCTGATCGGGGCCTCCTTGGCTCGCCGGAGCC